AAGGAAAGGAAAGGAAAGGAAAGGAAAGGAAAGGAAAGGAAAGGAAAGGAAAGAGGAAGGATGGAAGGAAGGAGAGAGGAAGGATGGAAGGAAGGAGAGAAAGAGGAAAGAAAGGGGAGGGGAGGGAGGGAGGGAGGAAGGAGGGGGAGAGAGAGAGAGAGAGAGGATCCTCCTCTTCCTCCTTTCCCTTTCTGTCTCCGTTCTGCAGGATTACACTCACCTCCTCTGCTGGGCACAGCTGCTGTCCCCGGACTGGTCACTCCCCTCAGCAACAGCTTTGCAGGAATGGTGGCCATTCCGAGCGGCCATCCGACCCTGGAGACGGTCTATGCAAACGGGCTTGTCCCCTGCACAGGTATGGCCGAGCAGGAGAGGCTGCCGGGCGTTTCCCCCAGCCTGGCTTCACTCGGAGGGCCCGCTGCGAAGGCCTTTTGCGTACAGCTCTGGGCAGGGGGTCGTGGCTAACCTGGTCCCCGGAGGTTTTCGTCTTTGATGGTCCTAAATGTATTTATAAAGGAGAAGCCCCATCAAACGCAGCGTGTTTGCTTCTTGACCGATGGGGTGGTGAAATGGGGAAGGGGCCAGACTAGGAGTGGGGGGACCTGGGTTCTAGTTCTCCCTCAGCCACAGAAGCCCTCTGAGGAGTTTTGGAACAGCTGCTTTTCATAAAAGGAGAAGGCCACATGTGAGGGAGTTGGAGGCCCAATGCAGCACAGGTTTGGAGCTTATGTGCAGCCCTGGACTAACAAGCAGGGGGATTCTGGGAAAAGATGTTGAATGCCTGCCCTCACCACCTCTGTGGCCTCACAGCACATGGGGAATGGCGGGCTTGCTAGTAGCAGCCTTCCCTGAGCAATGGTGGCGGCCCAGGGCCGCAGGGTATCATGGTGAGAGGGGTCTGGCCTGGGCATTGGGGTGACTTGGCACGGCTGGGCATTGGGCAGGTTGGCAGCAGCCCCACGGCCAAGGTGGCCATTGAAATAAGGAGAAGAGCCACTCCGTGGGTCCCAGGCACTCCTGGCGCATCACAGCAACGCCCTTTCTCCTCTGCTGACCCCCCAGAACCAGACGGAGCTTTGCATTCTGGAGGAACCAGGGCTGTGCCCAGCGAGAGTCCCCCTTGGTCTCTGGGCAAAACACCTCAAGGCACCTGATCAAAGCAAGCCACAGGCCTGTCTCTGATGCCCACAGCCTCCTCTCTCCGCATGTGCGTGCACACCCACACGCGTGGGATTTGGGGCCAGGTTCTTCGTTCTGCCAAGATGCAGACAGGCAGGAGGTCCTGGTCTCTCTGCTGCCCCCTCCGTGGCGCAGCCAGCCTGGCCCTCCTGGCCCTGAGGGGAGCGGAGACTCCTTGCCCAGGGCTGCCGTGGACCCTCAGCCCAGCAGGCAGGAGGGCCCCCTCCCCCTGTGCTCCCTGGCTGCTGGAGGGCGGTCCTGGTCTCCGTCACTCGCAGGTCCCGCCCT